TTTTCGCCCTGTATAAGCTATACAAAAATTAAAAAAATAAGTGAGGGAGAAAATAGGTTCATAATTTTTTTCTGACGATAAAGTCTCTACTTTAGTTATAGTTGCGGAGGTGCGCATTTTCAGAGTTGAGTGTTTTTCGATAGGTTATCCAATATTTCAGTGTTAAAGTAAAACACTGTATGTGATATCAGATTGCTTTGAAAGGGCCTATCCCAATCTGCAATAGAATGTAGGGCTTTCCGTTAAGAAATGCATGTTTGGGACACTTCGTAGAGATCAATATATCTGCTAAATACAATTTTTGTAACTGACTTTTCTAGATATCGTACGTAATAACAGAGTTATCGATCTAGCCCACACTAAAACCTCATCCGTATATTGTGTCTTAACAGAAATCGGGTTTAGGAATTATGTAGCGGAAGTGCTTCTTCTGTGTTTGAACTCGGGAAGGACAAAATACAAGCTCAAAATTATCAAAAAGTAACCAACATCGGTAATAGCAGCTCAAATAACTGCAGGCCTATGCGATGCAGTCTGTAATCAGCAGGGTGATAGAGAAGAATGTCTCAAGCATCTTCGCCTTATCAGCGACTGCCAGTGTGGTTTTCAGCACCAGTGATCAACTGGGGACTAGATATGGTGAGACTGAACGGCTTTCGTCAGCTGCAGAATGGTCTAGTCATGTGAAGGTATACATCCGATTCTACACTGGAATTTTCAGGGACCGGTTTTGGTTACACATTAATGATCTCTTTTCCTGAGTGTGAATATGATCCGTATATTTGCGGATGATAGCATTTATAGTGCCAGACAAGGCCCAATTTCACCAACATTAATATTATGGACCAATGGGAAAATACCTTATCGAAATGCAATTTGACCGAAGCTGTCAAAGATCTCTGAATTTAGTGATTTCTATTGAAATATTAAATAAAATCATGAAAATTCGACTGTATTATAAACAAGACCACTTTTTGATTCCAACATCATGCTTTTGTATAGAAAAAACAGGACAACTTTAATGTATTTTGATATATGTTATAGGTTTATATTTAACAGCTGTTAAGCTGGACATAGACAAAAAAAATATGAAAAAATGTTTCACAAATAATGTTTTTTAAGTTCAAAAATCATAAAAACTAGTAATGTTTATTGTTTGTCTTTTTGTCCTTTTTGACTGGCGGGGATATCTATCTGTCACTCGCAGGGTTGCCAAGTCTAACGACGATCACGTCCCGTGGTGGAGGGTGCGAAATGAATCTTTTACATTTGCTGGTTTTGAATTTTTTTCGAGAAAATTTACTAGCTATCATGATTATAAGCATCTTTGGTAGATTATTCGATTCGGACTGGGAAAGATCTCCTATTTATGAAAATATTTTTGGTATTATCTAACCGTTGCAATCAGTGCACAAACACTGTGACATATGATTTATAGCATAACCGGCTGACCTATCAATACAAATTTAACATACAGGTCGCCTAATAGTGGGGATGCAGTGGTCGGGATGAATATCACGGCAGCAACTGATGATTTGGGCATGTCTGGTAACAACGTATGACGTGAAACTCGCTAACTTCACAAATTTGAAGATTTTGTACAATTTCTTTGAAAATGATGAAAGATATGTCTGATTTGGCAGGGTAATGTCGCAGCCAAATGGCAGTTACTCTTTGTGACACAGTACGGATCGGAAGATGACGATACTCATGAAATTTATTGATACTTCTAAATATAAGATCGTATCGAACATTTTAAATTTTCATTTTCATTTTTTCAAGTGTTGTGCAATGATTTTGGGAAAAATGTCACGAATAGTCTTATAAAGCATAGTAGAGTATATTTCAACAGTTGGCGGAACTTACTCCACTGGGACCAGTAGGGTGAAATGGGATATTAATGCACAATCTGGCAACCCTGTCGCACCCTCACAAAATGGCCGCTGACAACCACACAAGTCACCGTGTGTTCATTGAAGAGCATGGAGTTAATCCTTCAGAGTATATGTTTTGACTGGTACGAAGAGTTGACAGATCCCACACATGTGTCACTCCTTGAAATGCAATAATCAGCTGTATTCAAATAATGTCTAATATAAATATAACAAAGAATGTGTACACTTGAAAAAAGAAAAATATGGCAAATTTTTAGTTTTTTTTGCAGGTTTTAGGTTTGTTGGTTTGCTTTAAGGCATATATTTGGGAATTTCTTAATCGCTGTGAATATAGTGTGGATGTTTGTTCAGTTCCTGAACAACGAAAAATATTCAACCTTATGGATGTATGGATATCAGAAAACCTGAATGGTTTTGTGGGAATATCAATCTAAGGTGCCATAATGGTTCTGATGAACGGCAAGTAAATGAATGAATGTTTGGAAACGAGCAATATCCTTTGGTAGAGCCTGTCATCAGGTAGATGCTTAATAGCTATCTGGAAGAGGTTTAGGAAAAAACACCTAGTATCACATATCAATTGAAGAAAATAATATAAACATGAATAAAAAATCATTTCTTAAAATTTTTACTGAATTATATGTAATTTCTTAATATTCAATAAGCTGGTGATGTTTCAATGTCAAGTTGTCATCTCATACTTTGACAGTATTTTGTTTTCAACATTTCATAGCTATTGGTTGCTAAAATTTGTTGATTGGAACTTGAAGCTCATTCGCTGTATCTGAAGGTCTGTTACCCTATAGGTGGAGAATAACTGACTGTTGTTGGTGAAATTGGCCCTAAACTTTGTTGTTAAGTTAGAGGATTGGTAGCAACTGTCTCTCAGACGAAAGATCTGATTATCACTGCCTGAGAGTGCAATATTTTGGTGTAACGAACAAGATCCGCTGTTCATTCCGCTTTGATGGATATTTTTCTTTTTTTAATAACTATACTATTTCAGCCATGTTTCAATTATATTTATCATGCTGTCTTCCTGATTAATTGAACAGTTTTTTCTCGAACATTCGAATCCTCTTATAATTTCAGACTCGCTAGCAATCAATACGTTGTGACGTCAGTAGCTTTTTTATCAATTGATGGTTAATTTGAACTGTATTTTTGAATACCAAGAAATCAGGTTGTACCTATTCGTCCATGTTATGCCAAAGATTTCGTATATAAATCGGTATGAACGTTTTCTCTATTTTCGACTACGGCTAGCAAATTTTAGGTTTTCATGGTTTGCTTTGCTTCGGACATCAATTGGCGATGAAGTATTGTGATCGCGAAACGTTTCCAAAGAGATGTTTCTGGATCTTACATTTACGGGATGGGGTGACTCGCTATAAATTTGCCTCATTTTTTGCGTGAGGGTTTAGAAAAAAAAAAAAGCTATTGGATCTAATATAAACTTCAAAACCAATGCCTTTTTATAATACTCAGTGTCTCGGAGAAGTACAATCAAATAAAGTTGTTGTTTTTTTTTAAACGGAACAGCCGGAATATTCTTAGTTGAAACGATTGCCGCTTGCTTTTTTCTGATTCCGAATATACAGGGTGTCCAAATAGTGTGACAAAGCTCAATATCGTTCTTACTATTAGAGTTGCAGAAAAAAGTTAAACAGAAAGGTTGTAGGCAGAGCTAAGAGCTACAACCTAAAATTATTTTTAGCTATACAGGGCGTCCTATATATTAGTGGCAATGTAAACCTATATCATTCATAAAAATTTAAATGCAACATCCTGTATGTTATACCTCTATTCAGCTGATGCCGTTTGAGTTTTATTATGCATTCCCTATACATAAACCTAGTATTTTTTTTGAGACATTCCATGTTTTATAAGCTTTTTTCGCGGAGCTAATCTAGAGCATATTCCGAACACAAATAAAGTAACTCCGATATGTTTGAAATGCGCAAGCGCGTGATATAATTAATTCGGAATTTTTAATGTCCGCGAACAGCAAAACCTACCAAATTCTTTCTGTACAAAAGTAAGGTTAGAGTTTTTGTTTTGATTTTTATTATTTGAATTTAAGTATTTTTTTTATCAAGTCCAGCAAGTGTGTCGCCCATTTTTTTTAAAATGATAAAGGAGGTAAGTTTTTTTTAACCATCAATAAATAAATAATTAAAAAATTACTATTTTGTTAGATCTGTCAGAGTTTCTGCTATATCCTTCATGTTCTCAAGACCAGGATGAAGTGGAATCCTTTAAATGGAATTACATCAACACTCTTATTTTTTGGACCTATATAAAAAATATAAAGACTTGGTTGGATCTTTAAAAACTAAAAATTTTAAAAAATGTATGAAGAAATTGCTAAGGAGTTAAGACAAAAAACCAATCAAAATATAACAGGATTGTGAAATTGTGAAAACAGATGGAAACATCTGGAGAGAATGTTCAAGAAATATGTAGACAACAACAATAAAACTGGAAGAGGAAGAAGAGAGTTTGAGTATGCAGAAGCAATGTAAGATATTTTGGGTAGAAAACGAAACATTCATCCTGTTGTATTATTGTCATCCGACACAGTTATTCATCCAACAACACAGGTGGTTACAGGATAAAATCATGAAAAGGAAAATCCGGTAGAATTTACTAAAACCAAGGAGCTACTCAGCACCAGCAGCAAGGCAACTGATGTAACAGCTCCTCAAAGGATTACAAATATGAATAAAAATAAAAGGCTTAAAGTGACAATTTTATCTGAAATTCGGAAAGATAGAAAATAATTTTACAACAAACTTTTGGAAATTGAGGAGAGAAAAGTAACAGAAAAAAAAGAAACAATGATTTTCTACAGGAAAAAAATGAATTAAGAAAACAATATTTAGAAACCTTGATACCCTTTAAAAGGTTTAATTTTTTTGTTCAAAGAACTTAGATGTTATGTTTTTCTATATTTATTTAGATCAAATTCAAATTAGTATAATTTAAGTTTTAAATTGTACAGTGTTTTTATTTTAGTTAGAGAATTTCGTTGTTTTTTTTGTTTATTTTTTCATTATTTAGTTAATTAATAAACACTACTTGTTTTAAATTTATTTCAAAAAGCTTTTGTTAAACATACATACACATTACATACTAAATTACGAAATTTAAGCTATTCATTACTTCATTTCTTTTTGTTATCCCAGTTTGTACATCCTGATTTTCATTTCCTGCATCTCGCCCTACTTGTCCAGCAATTACTTCATTCTGTGCTTCTGGTGCTGGTGGAACTTCACAATCATGTAAATTGTCTTCTATTGAAAGGTTGTGCAATACAGGTCAGGCCCTTATGAAGTGAATACATAGAAGATAATTGTAATTTCTTTGGCGACGAGTCAAATTACCTCTATCTTGAAATGGAGTTAGGCAATATTGTAAACAAGGGTAACCACTGTCTCCAATAATAAAGTGGTTTCCACATTTTTCTTGAAGTGTTCCAAATAATGGTGATGTCCGAAACACTCGACTGTCATGAACGGCTCCTGGGTATCCGACCAATATATCCCTTATTTTCCTTTTATGATCACAAACAACTTGTGCCTGTAAAAATAAAATATATTATACAGGGTGTTCCATAATTATTGCGACAAAATGATAGGGGTTGTAGAGGGCATCAAAATGAACAATTTTTCCTTATAAACCCCTGTTCGGAAATATGCCGTTTGGGCTGCAGCAAAAAAAAAAAGATCAGTTTCTTGAAACAGCTTACCTACAGTAATTGCTCAAAGTGTCCTCCACCTTGCTCAATACACAGCTGTGCACGATTGTTCAATGATCGGCGAACTCTGTGGCATACCCCCGGTATGTCCTGAACATGTGCGGACGCGGCCATCACTCTTCCCAGTAGCTCTTGTTGGTTGGGAACAGGAGTTTCGTACACTAAAGCTTTCAGATAGCTCCAGATAAAATAATCCAGTGTGGTCAGGTCAAGTGACCGCGCAGGCCAAGGCACAGGGCCACCTCGGCCTATCCACCTATTTGGAAATTTGTCGTCCAAATACTGCCGCACTTGTAAAGAAAAGTGGGCTGGACCGCCATGGTGTTGAAACCACATGTTGGCTCTTATATTCAGTGGCACATTTTGTAATAGTTCCGGTAGCACATGCTGTAAGGATCGACCATAAGCATGCCCATCCAAACGTGGTGGAAGCAGATATGGCCCGATGATATGCTCGTCCACAGTGCCGCACCAGATGTTAATTGAAAACTGATGTTGGTCTCTATGGATGGCTATGGCATGATGGTTTTCTTCATCCCAAATGTGACTGTTATGGCTATTAAAATAACCGTCCTTTGTAAAACAGGACTCGTCAGTGAACAAAACGTAGCGACCAAAGTTTGGTTGCCTCAACTCCTGCTGCATGGCTTGGACTTTTAAAAGGTGGTACGGGTGTACGATAACAAAAATGTAAACACAGCAGGCTTTTTTTACAAACCGGTGAGACCATGAAATGTGCTAGACGAACATTTTGCAGCTGGTGAATTTTTTGTTTCTCCTATGAGCTCTTAAGGTAAAATTAACTGTAGTGCTCAAACGGCATATTTACGAACAGGGGTTTATAAGGCAAAATTGCATATTTTTATGCCCTCTACAACCCCTATCATTTTGTCGCAATAATTATGGAACACCCTGTATAAACATTTAAGATATTATCATACTTGAATAACATTTAAACTGAAATTTAAAATTTTGCTTTCTTACCTGGATCGAAAAACAGTGCTTCCTGTTAAGGTATGAATCTGGATCATCCTGTGGCTTGTCAATTCCAATGTGTATACCGTCAATGACGCCAATAATGCCAGGAAATTCGCCTTGCCTAAAGTGGCTTTCAATTTGAATTTTCTCTTCGTTAGTTGGCCATTTTATAAATTCCGCAGACAAATTGGATAAAAAATACGTAAATCTCTTCACAATTTTATGAAGAGAGCTAATAGTAATCCCAAACCGGTCAGATACATCACTTAAACTTGCAGCTTCATTGTTTGCATACCAAAAAAATGGCCACAACTGTTTTAAAAGGGCTAATTTTTTCAGAGTCACCTTTTTGGTAGTGATAATATTGCGAAGCTTGATATCTGTTTGATAATTGGGTTGCTACTTCCCTGCTTATCCTAAAATTCCCAAAAAACCGTTGATCGATGAATTGGGGCACAGTTTCCTCACAAAAGTTCTCATTTTTTGGAACTTCAAACAATTCGTTCAATTCTTCCAAATCTTCGTCACTTGTACTTAAATGCATCATTGGCATCATCTTGAAAGTAGATTTAAGACAAATGTTTGTTTATATCCAAAGACACAGAATTATAGGTTAGGATTTGTTCTTAATTTTAAATCCCTCGGTCTATCACCGGATCTATCGAACACATTACGAGGACGTTCAGAACTCAACACAGTTGTACCACGAACAACGAATTTTTAATCCCGAGTAACAAATTTTGTCACCGCGAACGGTCTTTTTTTTAGTGCGCATGCGATGATAAGATGAAGGCGTCCGGGAAAAAAGCTATAAGTGAGAACCATAATAATATTGGAATTATTAGGCGCATATGGGTTGGCCATGCTTTTTTGACAAATCCGTCATCGTAAACTTCAGTAGTAAAGTTTTGCTTGTTCGTTATAAAACGAATTTGCCAACACAAGAAATGGTTGATATGATTCATGCGATAGGAGCAAGTGACAAAAATTCTTTATTGGCAATAAGATTGTATAATCAACGTCACCCAGACAGAAGAAAACCGTGTAGGAAGATTCTCGATAATCGTATGGAGCGTCTCGAGCGTACAGGAAGTGTGGCATATGAGAAGAAAGAAATGGTGAAAGCAGTTTTACAGGAAGAGAATATGTTTCAAGTTAGGCTCGGCGTAACTGAAGATCCCCATGTAAGTATTTCAAAAGACTTCGACATTATTAACAAATCATTCGCACACAGTATACTTTAAGCCCAATCATGTTCTAGTGACATAGTCCATGACAGGCTGCAAGAAGCGGCGGACGAGGCTTTAGAGTGGGCGAATCGGTGGCTAATCAATATTAATTTTTCAAAGACAAAATAGCCTATTTTACAAAAAAGCGCCGTGGTGCCCTGTTAGACATTACTGTGGATGACGTTTCGATACCTTGGGCTAACAAAGCCAAATATTTAGGTCTTACACTCGACAAGAGTATGACTTGGCCGGCACACATTGAGCAATTGGAAATTAAATTCCAAATTACATTTCGGCAATTGTATCCTCTTTTATATAGAACATAAAAATTGAGTTTGGTCAATGAGATTCGGATACACAAAACCCTCATAAGACTTGCAATAACCTACGCAAATTACGGCACTGCTATGATGATGATCTAATATGTAGAGTTGCTTAGGTTTGCACTTTTCAATTCCTTTGTTCTAGCGTAGGTTATAAGTAAGAGATGCATGTAAACCAAGGTGACCAGTACTCATTCGTCTTCTGTTAAATAAAGTCGCTTTTTTAAAAAGTCGTTCGTTGTTTGCACATTCTTAATTGGCGCTGCGAACAGGATATCGGCGTACCGAATCGATAATCGGCGGTATTGATTCACGAGTATCGCTCAATCGAGACCGAAAAAGTGCAAAAAATCGTCCGGTGTGTTCGGGTACGATTTCAATCGTTTTGACGTCAATCACAAAGAACTTCGAAGGCTACACCGAGCAGGCACATCACCATCGAAGTACCAGGCCGAAATACTTGCTAAGTATTTTGGGAGCAGGCAACGACACTTGAGAAAACGACAGGAACTGACAGGAGCGAGGTGCTGGATCCACGGCAGGCAAGCTGTCAACCAGGAGGAGCTGTATTGGCCCAAGGAGGTATCTCAGATCTCTCCAAATGAAGCTGCTAGTGCCCAGTGTAGCGTAAGAAACAACATTTACAATTTTTGCTGTACTCAGTGATATTTCCATTTATTTCTCGAAACTTTTTCGCCCTCTATTGCTTTACATTTATATATACTCGTAAAAGTTATCTATAAGTAAACTTATTTAGTGACTTTAATTGCACATATTTAATGTCCGATTCTGAATTTGAATCTGTAGTCGAAAATACACCTGTTAGACAAGTTATTTTGACACCCTCACGTCTTAATTTTAATCAGTCAACCATGTCTCTTCAAGATTTACAAATTAAATTCAATGTAGCTAAATATATGGTACCAGAATATCATGGAGGTCACAGAGATCTAATTTATTTTTTGGATAATTCAGAAAAGTTTATTGCAGAATTTGTTAATACACCTTTTGTTTCGTATGCTTTCCAATACGTTATTTCTCAGCTGAAAAGCGAAGTAAGAGATTTAGTGCATCTAACTAGTCCGAGAACCTGGCCAGATTTAAAATCATTATTATTATCCAAATATAAAGATCCTAGAAATGAAGAAACTCTTCTCACCGCCTTATATACGTCAGTTCAGAAACCTAACCAAAAATATGAAGACTTTTATCAAGAAATTAAATTTAAGGTACAGAGCCTGAAAGAATTTGCAAATTTAGAATACCATGATAATCCCGATCATATCGCTTTTAAATTGAGAGACTATGATAGACAGTCTTTGAGCTCCTTTATCTCTGGTTTGAATGAACCATATAGGTCTTATGTAAGACAGCAAAATCCTACTACAATTGATTCTTGTGTTCAATATTGTCGTGATTATGATAATTTGCAAATGCAAGTTGATTATAAAAATTTCTTAAGAACGAGCCTATATAAACGACAACAGCCTCAGTCTCAGAATAAAGTACAAGCTTCAAATCAAAATTTCCAAAGGTCTAATTTTAATTTTTCTCAAAAGCCCAATCAGTTTAGAGCCCAAAATAGTCAAACTTGGCTAGAGCCACAACAAACCTTCCCTACAGGTCCCACGCAACTACCACCACCTAAACAAAATTTTAAACCTCATTACCCTACAAACATTCAAGCTTTCAGACCACCACAGAATGTTTTTTCCAAAAAACCCATTCCAGGTCAACAAAAAAGTAATCCTATACCTATGTCTGTATCTACAGCACGCACACCGAAACCCCAGCAAAACCCATATCGTCAACAAATGCCCACTAGAGTTAATGCCTTTCAAGTAGGTCCCAAACCAAACCATTATTATGTCGAAGAAATTACTCATCTTGAAAATGAGGAAGAACAAACTTTTGCAGGAACGCCACAATATGAATCTGAGGAATATACCCAAGATTTCGATTCAGACTATATCCCCGATGAATCTTATTTTGAAAACAATGACGAAGAAAATTTTCCTTCGACGAGCCAGTCTCAAAATTTGACTTAGATATAAATAATTATCAAAAAACCCACCTTCCGTATATTTTTTGTTCTCAGTTTAATCTTATCATCTTAATCGATACTGGTGCATCATCCTCCCTGATCAATCCAGAAATTGCTTTTAAATATTTTCCAGATCGTATTTATGATCATCCTTTTGAAATTAATTCATGTACGTCCAATTTTAGAGGTCAATATGCCTGTAAAATTCCCATATTTTCTGAATGGAAGAATAAAACTGAAATTGAATTTTTAATTCTTCCTTGGCATTCACGTTATGACTGCTTATTAGGATTCTATGATTTACAAAAGCTTAATTGCTCTATTGATTTGACTAAACATCAGATTATTACTGATAAATGTAAAATTACTTATAACACTTCTTTTAAGCCAATTCGAGAAAACAATCCAGTTCAGTATAGTTACCCGAAAAAATCATTAATTATCCGAAATTTGGATAATGGTTCTGTTGTTATTCCACCTTTGAAATTCAAAAATTCTGACGAATATTTTCCTGAATGTATCTGTAACGTAGAAAATAATGCTATTCAATATCCAATTGACATAAATCTTCTTGATGTTTCCAACCCATTTTTATCTGAACCTCTTGATGATTTTCTAATTGAAAAAGAATCTCCATTTTCTACTGAAAAATCCAATATACGTGTTGAAAATTTAATTCGTACGTCTCATATGAATAGTGAAGAAAAAGAAAAGATTATTAAGCTCTGCAAGCAATTCAAACAGGTATTTTTCAACCCTAACGAACCATTAACTCCCTGTAATGCCACTGCACACAAAATTAGGTTAAAAAATGAAGACCCAATTTATGTAAAAAATTATCGATATCCTTATCATCTCAAAAAGGAAATCCAAAATCAAGTTTCCAAGTTATTGAATGATGGAATCATTCGACAAAGCAATTCACCCTATCAATCACCCTGCTGGATAGTTCCTAAGAAAATGGATGCATCCGGTGTTAAAAAATATAGGATGGTTATTGATTTCAGAAAACTGAATGAAATAACAATTGAAGATAAATTTCCACTCCCACTAATTGAAGAAATTTTGGAAAATTTAGGCAAAAGCATGTATTTTTCTACTATTGATTTGGCACAAGGGTTCCACCAGATCCCTATGGATCCTGAGTCTATAGAAAAAACGGCTTTTACTGTTGAAAATGGCCACTATGAATATGTCCGTATGCCATTTGGGTTAAAAAATGCCCCTGCTACCTTTCAACGTATGATGAATACTGTATTGTTAGAATATATCAACGTTTTTTGTTTTGTCTATATGGATGATATCATTGTTTTTTCAAAATCCCTAGACGAACACATTTTGCATCTTCGAAAAATATTCCAAAAACTGAATCAGTTTAATTTAAAAATCCAACTGGACAAATCTGAGTTCCTGAGAAAAGATGTTCCATTCTTAGGTCATGTCATCACGCCACAAGGCATACTTCCAAACCCAGATAAAATCAAAGTAATTCAAGAATATCCTCTCCCGACTACGATTAAAGAAATCCAGTCATTTTTAGGCCTTATGAACTATTATCGTAAATTTATTAAAGGATTTGCACAATTGACTAAGCCATTCACAAAATGTTTACGTAAAGATGAAAAAATCAATATCAATAATCCAGATTATATCAATGCATTTAAACTTTGTAAAGAAGCTCTTTGTAACCCACCTATTCTGGCTTATCCTGATTTTTCCAAAAAATTTACATTGACAACTGATTGTAGCAATATAGCCCTATGAGGAGTTCTTAGTCAAAATGATAAGCCTATTGCTTTCCACTCTCGAACATTAAATTCTGCTGAACGCAATTACAGCGTTATTGAAAAAGAACTATTGGCAATAGTTGATTCTTGTAAAAAATTCCGTCCTTATTTATTTGGTCAAAATTTTCTAATCGAATGTGATCACAAGCCCCTAGTTTGGTTGAGTTCTTTATCAGTGCCCAATCAGCGATTGATTAGATGGAAG